CCAACACACACAAATAGAAGTACATATTGATGAAGTTCACCGATGGAGTTAATTCCCTCTTACAAGGTTAGAAAAGAGACTTACCTCATCTCAAGGCCTACTTTCCGATCCAAGGTCGTGCTCAAACCTCCACATTCGGTGCCAAACGACTCGAAGCTAGTCAAATATTATATAATTTAATCAATTTATGCTCAAAAGTTCATATCCCAACTATTAAAGTGATTACCCGACTCTAAATGCAAGATTCCTAAAATTCAGCCCCAGGCCCACGTGTCTGAATTCCGAAAATGTTTGAAGAAAGTTGTTACCCATACCCTTAGGAACATAAATATATGATTTTCACTAAGTTCCATAACCATTTTCATGGTTAAATCTCATTTTATCAAAAACCTATGTTTTCACTTAAACCCATGATTTTTAACTAATTTACAAGTTATTAGCTACCCTTAATCTATGTATTTAACTCAAGATTGGTAGAAATCACTTACCTCCAAATACTAGGTGAAATCCCCTCCTTAAAAGCTCTCAAACCGCCCAAGAGTGAAAGAAATATGTGATAAAAATGGCCTAAGTCATGTAATAAATGAACCCTCAGTGCCCAGCGATTTTCATACTTGCGGTGACTTGGACGCATTTGCGGTTTCGCACCTGCGGAAATTACCTCGCAGGTATTGTTTTTCCTCATCTGGCCTTACTCCTCAACTGCGGGCAGAAATGGCCGCTTCTGCGACCCTAGCCGCTCCTGTGACTACAGTTCCCACACCTGCGGTCACGCAGGTGCGCTCAATCTTCCGAATCTGCGATCTCTAGGCTGCCCTCGATATTTCGCTTTTGCGGCTCGTGTCTCACATATGCGAGCATGCACCTGCGTCTGGACAAGCGCAGGTGCGGTTATGACAGATTTGGGAGATTCAGCTCTGGCTCTAAGCTCTCAGCATGGCCCGATCCTCGTCTGATCGGCATTTGGGGCTCCCGGGGGCCCACCCGAACATACCAACAAGTTTGAAATCATTAAACGGACTCGCTCGAACTCTCGGAATGCTCGAAACAACATTAAAACTAAGAATCGCACCCCAAAACTCATTGGATCAAACTTATAAACTTCAAGTACTTCAATTTACTCCAAATGTACCAAAACATACTTAAACTACCCGGATTGATGCCAAATTTTGCGTGCAAGTCGTAAATGACATTATGGAACTATTCCCAGGCTCGAAATTCCATTTGGACCTCGATATAACCAAAACTCGCTCCAAACCAAATTTAAAGAATTTCTGAACCTTCAAAGTACCATCCTTCACTATTTGGCACTGAAATCCTTCCAGGTCATCCAAAAGCCGGTCCGAGCATACACCCAAGTCTGAAATATGAACCTATTGGGACCGTCAAATCTTTATTCTGAGGTCGTTTACTCAAAATGTTGACCGTAGTCAAACTTGGCCTTTTAAGGCTAACTTAAGGAACCAATTGTCCGATTTCAATCCGCACCCTTGCTAATCTCAAACTAACCACTCCCCCAAGTCATAAAATAGTAAAAACACACACGGGGAGTCTTATTTAGGGAAACGGGGTTCTAGAAAGCAAAACAACTATTCGGGTCGTCATATTCTCCACCTCTTAAACAAACGTTCGTCCTCAAACGTGTTTAGATTTATATGTGGAGTGCTGAATAAGTGTGGATATCTTCTCTGTATGTTCTCCTCAGACTCCCAAGTCGCCTCCTCGACTGGTTGGCCCTTCCACTAAACCTTTATCGTAGAAATCCTCTTGGATCTCAACAGGCGATCCTGCCTATCAACAATGGCAACTGGCTTCTCTTCATAACCCAAACTATCAACTAGCTGAATTGTGCTGAAGTCTAACACATGTGACAAATCGGGATGATACCTCCGAAGCATAGACACGTGCAAAATCGGATGAACTCCCGATAGACTGGGAGGCAAAACAAGCTCGTAAGCGACCTCCCCAAATGGCCTCAACACCTAAAATGGGCCTATAAACCTTGGGCTAAACTTGACCTTTTTCCCAAACCGCATGATTCCCTTCATTGACGAGACTTTCAAGAGAACCTTCTCGCCTACCATGAATGATAAGTCATGCACCTTCTGATCCATGTAACTCTTCTGTCGGGACTGGATTGTGCGAAGTTGCTCCTGAATCAACTTTAACTTTTCCATGGCATCCTTCACCAAATCAGTACTATAGATCCTAGCCTCGCCGGGATCAAACCACCCAATGGGAGAACGACACCGTCGGCCATATAAAGCCTCGAATGGAGCCATCTCGATGTTGTACTGGTAACTCTTGTTGTATGAAAATTTGGCCAAAGGCAAGAACCGATCCCACTGTCCTCCAAAGTCAATCACATATGATCTGATCATGTTCTCCAATATCTAAACTGTCCGCTCCAACTGTCCGTCAGTCTGGGAATGAAATGTTGTGCTGAGCTATACACGGGTCCCCAATTCACTCTGTACTGCTCTCTAGAAATGTGAAGTAAACTGAGGACCTCTATCTGAAATGATGGAAACAGGTACACCAAGCAGCTGAACTATCTCCTAGATATAAATCTGGGCCAATATCTCCGAAGTATACGTAGTCATCACAGGAAGGAAGTGCGCCGACTTGGTCATTCTGTCTACAATGACCCAAACTGCATCAAACTTCTGCAAAGTCCGCGGCAACCAAACTACGAAGTCGATAGTGATGGGCTCCCACTTCCACTCAGGTATAGTCATCTACTGGTGTAGGCCTCCTGGCCTCTGGTACTCATACTTAACCTACTGGAAATTTAGGCACCTAGTTACATACTCAACTATGTCTTTCTTCATCCACCTCCACCAATAATGTTGCTTCAGGTTACGATACATCTTCATAGCGCCTGAATGAATGGTATATCGAGAGCTGTGCGCCTCTTCGAGAATCTTCCCCCCCAGTCCATCAACATTAGGAACACGCAGATGACCATGGAGTCGCAGAACACCATCCTCGCCAATAGAAACCTCCTTGACACTACCCTGTAGTATCGTATCCCTGAGAACCATCGAGTGCGGATCATCAAACTGTCGAGCCTTGATCTGCTCCAATAGTGAGGACTGGGCAACGACACAAGCAAGAACTCGGCTGGGCTCTAAAACATCCAACCTCACAAGCCTGTTAGCCAATGACTGAATGTCCAAGGCTAGTGGTCGCTCCTCTGCTGAAATGAATGCCAAACTACCCATACTCTCGTCCTTCCTGCTCAGGGCATCCGTGACTACATTCGTCTTGCTCGGATGATAAAGAATGGTGATGTCATAATCCTTCAGTAACTAAAGCCATCTACGCTACCTGAAATTGAGTTCCCTTTGCTTGAACAAATGCTTCAAACTGCGATGATCGGTGTAAACCACACAAGACACCCCATATTGATAATGCCTCCAGATCTTAAGAGGATGAATAATCATGGCCAACTCCAAATCGTGAACCGGATAATTTTTCTCATGGGGATTCAACTGACGTGAAGCATATGCAATAACACGCCCCTCATGTATCAATACACAACCCAAGCAAACACGTGAAGCATCGCAATACACAGTATACATCCCCGACCTGAAAGGCAACACAAGGACTGGTGTTGTGGTCAAAGCCGTCTTGAGCTTCTGGAAGCTTGCCTCACAATCATCGGACCAACGAAATGGAGCACCCTTCTAGGTCAATCTAGTCAAAGGTGCTGCAACATATGAGAAGCCCTCCACGAACCGGCGATAATAACCTGCTAACCCAAGAAACTCTTGATCTCAGTCGTCAAAGTAGGACGAGGCCAACTCTGAACTGCCTCAATCTTCTTGGGATCCACCTTAATGCCCTCCCCTGATACCACATGCCCTAAGGATGCCATAGAATCTAGCCAAAACTCGCACTTGCAGAACTTAGGATATAGCTTATGTTCCCGCAAGGTCAGAAGCACCACTCTCAAATGCTGCTCGTGCTCCTCCATGCTACGTGAGAAAATCAAAATGTCATCAATGAAGACAATGACAAATGAATCAATATAAGGCTTGGACACCCCATTCATCAAGACCATAAACGCTGATGGGTCATTAGTCAATCCGAAGGACATCACTAGAAACTCATAATGGCCATATCTAGTACGGAAAGCAGTCTTCGGAACATTTGAGTCCTGAATCTTCAGCTGATGGTACCCTGATCTCAAGTCTATCTTAGAGAACACCCTAGCACCCTGCAACAGGTCAAACAAATTGTCAATACGCGGCAACGGGTACTTGTTCTTAATGGTGACTTTGTTCAATTGGTAGTAATCAATGCACATCCGCATAGTCCCATCTTTCTTCTTCACAAATAACATTGGTGCACCCCAAGGTAATACACTCAGTCTGACGAACCCCTTGGCTAGCAACTCCTCATGTTGCTCCTTCAACTCCTTCAATTTTTTGGAGCCATAGGCTGGGTACCTGGAGCCAAGTCAATACAGAAATTGATATCACGATCTGGTAGCATGCTTGGAAGGTCCGAAGGAAACAAATCGGCAAACTCCCGAACTACTGGCACTGAATCAATCATCAGAGACTCTGCGGTGGTATCCCGAACGTAGGTTAGATAAGAAAAGCAACCCTTCTCGACCATATGTCGAGCTTTCAGAAAAGAGATGACCGACTAGATGTGCTGACAGATGAACCCTTCCACTCCAACCTCAGAAACTCTGGCATCGCTAATGTAATAGTTTTGGAATGGCAATCAAGGATGGCGTGATAAGGGGATAGCCAGTCCATGCCTAGGATGGCCTTAAAATCGGTCATATCAAGAAATAGAAGATCATGTCTAGTCTCGTAACCACAGAATGTGACCACACAGGACCGATAGATATGATCCACAACAGCATAATTTCCCACAGGAGTTGACACATAGACAAGAGTACTCAAGGACTCACGGGGAATATCTAGAAGGTGAGCAAACAGAGATGACACATACGAATAGGTAGATCCTGGATCAATTAATATTGAAGTATCCCTATCGCATACATAGATAATACATATGATCACGGAATCTTAGGCCACTGCATCTGGTCTGGTCGGAAAAGCATAAAATCTGGCTGGAGCGTCACCTGGCTGGCCTCTGCCTTCCTGACCTCCACCTCTAGGATGGCCCCTACCCACCTGCCCTCCACCTCTGGCCGGACGGACTACCAGTGTGGCAACTGGAGCTGTAATCATAGGCTGTTGACCTTGCTACACTGCCTTACCCCGAAGTCTGGGACAATGCCACTTTATGTGACTATGATCCCCGCACTCATAACAACCTCTCGGAGTTGTGGAATAATTCCCTGAAGTCTAACCCTGATAGCCTGAATACCCACCGAAAAGACCTTGAATAATTGGTGGGCGATATGAACTCTCTGGCATGGCACTGAAGTAGGCATTAGAAGAACCCTGATGAGCGGAGTACCCACTGAAATAACACTGAATAGCCGGTGGCCGGTAAGAACTCTCCGGAATAGCACTGAAATAGGGCCACGCTGGAATACCTCGAGGAGGTGGTGGTGATGAATATGGGGACCTACTAGACTGACCCCTCCCAAGATGACCTCTGCCCCCAGCTGGGGCACCTCTGAACTCTCCAGAAAAATGAGACCTCTTGTGCCGCTGCATCTTCTCTATATCTGACGGTAACCGTCAATCTTGCGAGCAATCTCCACTACTAACTGATAGGGAGTCCCCATATCAACCTCCCGAGACATGCTAGCCTGAATACTAGAGTGTAGCCCCGCAATGAACCTCCGCACTCACTTCGCCTTAGTAGGAAGTATCACAAGTGCATGGCGAGATAGCTCAGAAAATCTCACCTCATACTTGGTCACTGACATCTGACCGTGCTCGAGCCGCTCAATCTAACATCGCAACTCTTCCCTATGGGAGGGTGGAATATACTTGTCCAGGAATAGGCGTGTGAACTGATCCCAAGTCATAGGAGGATAATCTGCTGGTATGCCAAGAAAATAAGCCTTACATCACCTACGTGAGCTGCCCTCCAACTGAAACGTAGTGAAATCCACTCCGTGAGACTCCAATATGCTCATGTTGTGCAGTTTGTCCCTGCACCTATCAATAAATTCCTGGGGATCCTCAAGTCGCTCACCCCCAAAGACCGGAGGGTGAAGCCTAGTCCATCTGTCCAAAAGCTTATGCGGCTCGCCGACCGCAATTGGTCTTTGCTCAGGTACTGCCGCTGTAACTGGCTGGGCCCCGCCCACAAGTGTTGTACCCATGGTCTGATATACGGCAGCTGCATGCCCAGGTGTTTGAGCAGTAGGGATCTATGCTCCCCCACCCGCCTGAGATGTGGCCGGATCTGCTGGAAATAAACCATCCTGGTTCATAGAATCCATGAACTGCAACATACGGCCCGTGACCTCCTGAAAGCCCGGTGCTGACGTGAAATCTACCAGGGCAGGCTCTGCTGCGAGTACCTCGCCCTACTCCTCCATAATGGGATCCTCCACTAGCTCCGCTGGTGGTAAAACTGGAGCAACTCTGGGACGTCCTTGCCCCCTACCTCGGGTCGGTGCCCTCCCCCGGCCTCTGCCTTGGCCTCTAGCCACCAGGGGAACAGCCCCTCCCAGGTCTGGAACGTCTGATGTACGCGTTCTCACCATCTATGAGAGAATGAGAGAGAGGAACTTAGTATACCATCAACTACATGATAGGATATGAATAAAGAGTACTTTCCTAACACCCTATACCCTCTTGAAGATAAGCACGGACGTGTCCGCACCGATCCGCAAGACTCTATAAGGCCTTCCCATAACTTGTGAGACCTACGTGAACCTAGTGCTCTAATACCATGTTATCACGACCCAATTTCATCATAGGCCATGATGGCGCTCAACACCATTGTTAGGCAAGCCAACACTGATAAATCTAGTGGTTTCCACTTTTAATATGTTTGCAAAGTGAGTAGCTTTCCAAATTGATAAAAGTTTTAGAAATTTACTGCTATAAAGTAATTAAACAAAATCAATTGAGATCAAATCGAAGTCATGACAATAAATCCAAAATCATAAGTCTACTAGTGTGTGCCAGGACTTTGTGTCACAAGTGTGTGGGCTACTAGCATAATATATAAAAGAATACTAGTCTACTGTCTCAAGGGAATAGATAGAAATATAAATCCAAAAGAGAGACTCCGGCTATTGCTGAACGGCTAGGAATGGTAGCTCACCATATAGTTTCGAGCTACAAGTCAAGTGTGCGCGTCGAACTGGTAACCAGATGTACCTACCTCAAATCCTGCACATCAAGTGCAGAAGTGTAGCATGAGTACATAAACAACATGTACCCAATAAGTATCTAGTCTAACCTAGAAGAAGTAGTGACAAGGGGTCGATTGCGACACTTACTAAGAGCCAAAAACATAATAATGTGAATTTCTAATTAAGCATGTAAATATACAATGATAACGCTCAAAACAAGAAGTAATAAAGCAAATCCTTCTTTCAAGTAAGAATCAAATCATTTCTCTCATTTATCCCTTTCACTATTCAAGTCCGTGGAACATTATTAAATAATAAAAGGGATGTCAGTATCACTACGCACAAGTTATACCTAGGACGTACGACCTGATCCAAATATACATAATAATATATTTTGCATTGCCGAGGGTCGAACGCCTGAACCATATAATATATCAATAAATCATGCCGAGGCGAACGGCCCACTCCCATGAGAGTAGTGGAAGTTTACCCCCCTCGCGGAATATATTTGCAAAGCGGTTGAACATATAATTTATCAATTCATCGTAGTATTTCTCAATTCCTTTCTAAAAATAAGAAAATCAATTTGGATCTTTAAATATTGAAACCCTGAACTCCCACCTTAATCCAATAAGTAGTTTGCATAAACAAGCAACGGTATCAACAAAACATGGTGTAAGCCTAAATCAACCCAGACATAAGCATGAATTGTAGCTACGCACGGACTCTTATCACATCGTGCGTACGTAGGCCCCCCCCCCATAAATAGAAGTACATATTGATTAAGTTAACCTATGGGGTTAAGTCCCTCTTACAAGGTTAGAAAAGAGACTTACCTCATCTCAAGGCCTACTTTCCAGTCCAAGGTCATGGTCAAACCTCCAAATTTGGTGCCAAATGACTCAAAACTAGTCAAATATTATATAAATTAATATATTTACGGTCAAAAGTTCATATCCCAACTATTAAAGCAATTATCCGACTCTAAATGCAAGATTCCTAACATTCACCCCCAGGCCCAGGTGTTCGGATTCCGGAAATGTTCGAAGAAAGTTGTTACCCATACCCTTAGGAACATAAATATATGATTTTCACTAAGTTCCATAACCATTTTTGTGGTTAAATCTCATTTTATCAAAAACCTATGTTTTCACTTAAACCCATGATTTTTACTAATTTACATGTTATTAGCTACCCTTAATCTTTGCATTTAACTCAAGATTGGTAGAAATCACTTACCTCTAAGTACTAGGTGAAATCCCCTGCTTAAAAGCTCTCAAACCGCCTAAGAGTGAAAGAAATATGTGATACAATTACCTAAGTCCCGTATTAAATGAACCCTTACTACGATTTTTGCACTTGCGGTGCCTTGGCCGCATCTGCGGTCTCGAACCTACGGTAATTGCCTCGCAGGTGCGGTTTTTCCTCACCTTGCCTTACTCCGTATCTGCGGACAGAAGGGGTCGCTTCTACAAGCCTAGCCGAACCTACGACCACAACTCTCATACCTGCGGTCACGCAGGTGCGCCCAATCTTCTACACCTGCGAATGGCCAAGCACAGGTGCGATTATGACAGATCTGGGAGCTTCAGCTGTGGCTCTAAGCTCTCCACTTGGCCCAAGCCTCGTCCGATCGGCACTCGGGATCCCTCCCGAACATATCAGAAAGTTTGAAATCATAAAGCAGACTCACTCGAACTCTCGGAACACCCGAAACAACATTAAAACTAAGAATCGCACCTCAAAACTCATTGGATCAAACTTATAAACCTCAAGTTCTTCAATTTACTCCAAATGCTCCGAAACGTACTTAAACTACCCGTATTGACACCAAATTTTGTGTGCAAGTCTTAAATGAAATTATGGAACTATTCCCAGTCTTGGAATTCCATTTGGACCTCGATATCACCAAAACCCGCTCCAAACCAAATTTAAATAACTTCTAAACCTTCAAAGAACCAACCTTCACTATTAGGCGCCGAAATGCTCCCAGGTCATCCAAAACCCGGTCCGAGCATACACCCAAGTCCTAAATAATCATACGAACCTATTGGGACTGTCAA